AAAAAAAAAAAAAAAAAAAAAAAAAAAAAAAAAAAAAAAAAAAAAAAAAAAAAAAAATCCCTTTGGTTTCTTGCTTTGCAAAAGTATGTACTTTCTACTGACATTTATGTACCTATTTAATAGAAACTTCTAGTGGATGCAAAAAGGAAACTTGGGGAGATTCTTTCAGCATTTGAATTTCTGGATAACATGTCGATGGATGTGGTGAGTTCTTCTTCATTCTTATTTTCTCCTTCAATCGTGGATATCTTAATAGTTTGGGTCATCTTACTTGGGGATAATTTTCTTGTTTTGATATGGTAGTACTAGTGGAAAGATAAGGGCCTGTACACTGCATGATCCAATGAACAATTTATTTTTAATTTTTAGAGAAAATAAAAACATTGGACAAAAATTGAATCTAATGTCTTTAGTTGTTTTGGAAACACATTTATTGATTGCTGAAGGATTTTCAAATAATAGACTTGTTTTGTTTGTTCTCTGAATATTTCAAGAATTCATTTTAACAAATATTAATCATTAACCACTCGCAGATGTATAAGAAGTTATCCTTTGACTTAATTGATTTAGGGATATATTATTTGTTTGTCTAATTATTTTCCGGACTATAATTTATTAATGAGGTTAACTCTTCAGACCCAACAAGCACCAGGGTAAGTTGGTCTTGAATTGGCATTCATAGTGTTGGAACAACCTAAAACTTGATAGATTGAGATTGTTTTCTAAGAAAATATTGAGAATGTTCTAGAATTTTTTTTTCCAAGAATGATATCATTAATGCTAGTCTCAATGACTTGTGTTTGCCTTGTCCGAAAGAAATAAGACGTAAAATTGGTTTCAGAGAAAAAAAAAATATAGGAAAACACCAAAGACAACTATATTGCAATGTCAATGAATAAATTACAATAGAAATAAGTAGTCTGAGATACTTTCACAGAGCTCTTGTGATCTCTCCCAAGCCCTTTTTCACCCACCGAATGTTTTAACTCTGGGCTGACAGCTGGTGGATACAACACAAGTTTAAAGTTGTTTTCATTTTGAATATCATTTGAAATATAAATTTCTTTGACTGGAATGTTTGTATTAAAAGTGAAAAAATAATTATGAACTAATCATATTCACTTTTTTGTACTCATTTTCTCAGTGAACTAGTTGGGGGTACTTGCTTGTAATCTCTAAAGGAGATCTGTTTCTATTTTCTATTTTTATACTTTCAAAACGACGCTGATTCATTTCACTTTTTGCATAGGTTCTCAATCATTTAGAAGGTACACGGAATCCATTGCCTTCGACAATGCACAACTTTTATGTTTTGATCGAGACGACAGGCAGTAATGATTCATATGACAAGTAATCTTCCACAAGTTTGTAATTCATTTATCTGCTTGGACAGTTCTCTATTGGTGTGATAAAAAAATCCTTGATGATTCGTCATTTTTGTATGCATTTGGAATCACGTGTAGTAAGTTCAAAAAGAGGGAAATATATTGAGTTGTGAAGATCTTTGAAGTTGTGAGAGATGTATATAATCCATCAAGATTAAAATGGAAATACATAAGCTCTTCGCAGCTAGGGTTGCTAATACATCTCTGTCTGCTCATGTGCTTTCACACTGTGAAAGGAGTTTGAAGTTTAGTACTGATAAGAAAAAATGCTATACATGGTCAAGGACTTGCTGAAATATTATTGCTTGCCTTAATTTCGTTCTGAAATCAATAAAAAAATCGAGTAGAAATGCATTGTCATTAACAAGTGATTGCAATTTCTTTTCTTTAACATAATGTCATAAATTAAACCGAACATTCGTCATGGACATTAGAGCCTCATGCTTAAAAACTTTAAATGTTGCTGCTGTGACATGTTTTTCCTATCTTATTTGCTTCTATCATATTTGGATTACCAGGGAAAAGCTTGAAGCATTTCTACTTCGTTCGATGGAAGATGGTTTAATCTCTGACGGTGTTCTTGCACAAGATATCAACCAAATATCCTCTTTTTGGCAGATCCGTGAGGTATTTATCCCCTCTATACTTCGATCTTCAATCAATATTGCTGTCAGTTAAGGGAGTGAATGCGATATGGTACTCGAATATTTTAGCACACCTCTATTCTCATTCATTGATTACCTTCGAGATACTGAGGCATTAAATGTCATTAGGAAACTGACTGGTTGTGTTCTATTTGCAACTGATTGCATATTTGTCTTCTCTAGTTTGATCTTTGTTCGACTGTAGGGCATTTCAGAGGCATTGATGAAAGCAGGAGCTGTTTACAAATATGATTTGTCGTTACCTGTTGAGAAGATGTACGATATTGTCGAGGCAATGCGAACACGACTTGGTAAGAGGTATTCCTCACAGGAACTTCTGATTTCTGAAGGCCACTATTCATAGACAATTCAAAATCTGCTTTCTCTTTAGGCAACTCTGCTATAGTAATTGGTTACGGCCACCTTGGAGATGGTAATTTGCATCTGAATATTTCAACTCCACAGTATGATGACGCGGTAATCCCACCTATTTATCCCGCCCAGCTGAAATTTTTAGGTATTTGGTATCAGTTTTTATTCACATGTGATGCCTTTTCAGGTTTTGGCACAAATTGAACCCTTTGTCTATGAATGGACTTCCAATCATCGTGGAAGCATCAGCGCAGAGCATGGCTTGGGATTGATGAAAGCCAACAAGATCTTTTACAGCAAGTCACCTGAAATTGTACGTATTTTAAAAACTTAATAAGTTTTCTATTCTATCATTTCATTCATCTATGTATTCGTTTTATAACATTTTAAACTAAAGCTACTAATTTAAACAGGTACAAATCATGGCTTCTATCAAGAAATTGCTGGACCCTCGTGCCATACTCAACCCCTATAAAGTTCTGCCGCACTCCCTCCGTTCTTAACCCGAGCCAGGTTCTCTACTCGTCTCTTCTTATCATGAATAAATGTCTCGAGTGTTTACAGTTTTAGAAAAGCATTTGATAGCTGCTTGTGAAGTAAATAATCCACAACAAAGTTAACAAATATTGCTTTAGAATTCTGAAGGGATGTTGTAGGCAGCCAATCATAAAATTAAGATGCAACTCTATGGTTTAGAGCTTCGGTTTATTATATATATCAGACATTAACTGATTGTATTATATAGTGAAGTACCTGCCATGTTTGAGTCTTCATTATTTAACTTTGGTATATGTAAAAATAGCTTGAAACGTATAGTTGAAATAACTTCGATCATGTTTATGTTGTTATCTTCTGTTTTTAAATTTCACACTTGACTTAATATTCTTCTCTGTTTTCTAGTCTAAATTAAAAAAACAAAATTTAAAATTTAACAAAAAATTAGAGAACTTAGAAAACGTAGTTTTCAGAGCCCTGTTTCTTTTTCAAGGATCTTACATTCGAAATCCGATTTGTATTCTTATAAGTTTGAAATTTTATCTTATTGGAATGATGTTCACCAAATCTGCTTTGTGGAAGTATGTGTAGGATTTTATTCTGCCTTATGTCTTTACAAATAGTCTAGAGGGTACCAATTCCAAGTTTTGTGTATAGCTTTGGATAGACGCATGTTTGAATGCGTGTAAATTTGGCTTTATTTTCATCTTTTTTCTTCTTTCTCTTGTATCGATTTGGTAACCCATAATTGTTTTTGGAGGGATTATTTGAAGTTGGTAACGATTTTGTTCTTAAAATTTTAATGAGTAACAATTTAATTTATAACAATGTACGATATAATTAAGGTTTAATGCATGTAGATTGATAAACTGCTTAGAAATCAAATTTGTTTATATAAATTATGACTTGTGATACATAATAAAATTGTTACAATTTCAAAAGTTTAGAGATAGAATGATTTCATTGTTTGTCTCTTCTAAATCCATTAATTTCCTAGCTTTAATTTATGTCAAAATGATCGTGAGATATAGACTTCTAATTTCATCGATAGATGAAAATTAATATTCTATCCCAACCAACAAGTTTATTCTCATGCACTTCAACTCTTTTTTATATATAAAAAATGGGATGATATTCTTTTGATTAGGATAGATGAAAATTAATATTCTATCCCCACCCACAAGTTTCTTCTCGTGCTCCTCAGGTTATACAACGTTATTTCGAAGGGAACTAAGACTCTTAACTCGGATGGTAAGGGTTAAAATGAAACTTTTGAAACTTACGTAAGTTTTGAGACATAATTGAAACCTATCATCTTCGTAATATATATCACTACTTTACAGGTCATAAGTCATGTCATATTACATTTCAGTCATCATTTTATAAGTTTATAGGCATGATTAAAATCAACGAAAAGTTTGGCATAAAGAAATTAAAACATAAATCTTTATTGATTTATTTGGTTATTGAGTCAATATGTTCGAGGTCCTCTTCCAACCATACATGATTGAGAAGTTTGGAATTTTGACTCCTTTGTTGAAGAGATAATGTGATATTTGGAAATCGAATCAAATTCTCTCATCAAAAGTTTAATTATTGCATTAAAGCATATAACTTTACCAGCTTCCAATTTCTCCCTTCAAAATAATTATTTATTATAATGTGTCAAAGGAACAAAGACCCATGTTATCAAATAAAATTTCAATTATTATTAATTGATTGTTAGTGACTTATTTTCATAGATTTGGTAATTAAAGACCATAAAAGTCTGTATTATTTCTTCATTTTAATACCCCATATGTTTTTTTTTTAATATTAGTGTAAATTAACAAATTTGAAAGATAATTAAAAAAAATTTGAATGGCTTAGGACTATTAAATGTCTAGTCAACTGATATCCAATTTAAAAATAATCCAGATAATTGACTAATAATTAAAATAAAAATCCTAAATTATTTAAGAACATAATTAACCTAGTTCATCTGTTTTTTTTTGGTAGCATTGAAAGCTATCTTGTCTTAGTTTACTTTATGTATTCAACATTTGGGTGATATATATATATATAGATGGTATGGAAGACACATGGGAGCTTAGAGAAGGGATTTAAGGCTCAAGATCATACAGATCCTATCAGAAACATTAGATCGACACGTTAGACCGGATTTCTTTTATTCCTACTTTTTTATTTTGATGAATTTCAGGTTTGAATATTGAAATCTTTTGATCTTAGAGATTAATGTAGTTGTTTAGATTTGTAACTAGAGATTTTCACAGGGGTTTAGCAGGGATGGAAAAACCTTTCACTCCCATCCCAACATTCTTACTCTATCCTCGTAAATTTCACCATTTATTTTTGCGTGAACTGGAATCTCCGTGGGTTCCTATATCAACCAAAATTAAAAGTTCAAGACTTATTTCACACAAAACAAAATTAAGTGTCACACTAAATTCAAAGAAATTCACGTAAATATTACCTTTAATATATTAAAAAATTTCGTCCATAATTATATCAAAACGTTTCCATTACCAACTGAGAACATAGAACTAATAATAATAATAATAATAATAATAATAATAATAATAATAATAATAATAATAATAATAATTTGACGAGAGTGATAAATTAATTTGAAAAGAAGAAAAAAAAAGATATTTAAAAAGTAAATGGGAAAGGAATAGGAAAGGAAGAGTGGGAGTGGCGGTATATTATAAATATATATATATATATATATTAATATTATATATAATTATATAAATATATATAAGGTCGTGGCCGCTCCACTTTGTCCCTTTCGTCTACATCTTCGTCACATTCACCATAAAAACTCTCCCCTCTTTCTCTGCCATTGCGGAGCCTAACCCAAGCATGACCAGCTCCTCCGACTCCGCCCGCAAGGTTCCTTCTTTTTCTCTTCTTTCCCCCCATGTTCATCATCATCATCATCATCATCATCATCATCGCCTTCTTCGATTCATCAATCCACTGCCTTCTAATTCATCTCCCCTGTCTCTTCCTCTTCTCCCTTTCCGTTTCTGATTTGATTCATTTTCCTTCTTTGATTTCCAGGCTCTGAGTAAGATTGCCTGCAATCGCCTCCAGAAGGAGCTCGTTGAGTGGCAGGTCAACCCTCCCGCTGGTTTTAAACACAGGGTCACCGATAATCTTCAGAGGTATTTCTTCTTCCCCTTTCCTCGTAGGGTTTTTTTAAACAAAATTCCGTTTACTCGCTTTCTAGGTCGTCCTTCATACTCACCGTCCTAGAAAAACAAGGCTACAATTTCATTTAATTCCGTGCATTTGGTGGTGGTGGGGTCTTTGTTTAGGTCTGATTGCGTCGTCCTTGGCTTCATTTTTGTATCACCCGAAGTTTTCTTGCTCCTGTTATTTCCTGTAGTCGGTTCTGTAAGGAATTTTTGTTGTTGTTGTTGTTGTTGCTTTTAGTAGGAATTTCACGTTCATTTCTGGGTTTTTTTTGTTGGAAGGTGGGTGATTGAAGTCAACGGAGCCCCTGGAACTCTCTATGCAAATGAAACCTACCAGCTTCAGGTGGATTTCCCCGAACATTATCCAATGGAAGCCCCACAGGTCTTAACATAATCCTCCAACTCTGAGATCATTTCCATTCCATAACCCTATGACAGCTTTATTTAGTTATCGATTGTATTATGATTGTCTTTGATTTTGGCCTGCCCCTTTTGTTACAGGTTATATTTCTGCATCCAGCTCCCCTGCATCCTCATATCTATAGTAACGGTCACATTTGTCTAGGTTGGTATATCTATTGTTTTCTCTTGGTGCCTCTACTGGTGGAAGTTCTGCAGGATTATTGAGTTCTTATTACATTCCTTTCTTCTCTCTGTTGTTTGTGTTCATACTTTTGTCTCTTTTCCAATCTACACTGTTTTGAGTTCAATGCTGTCTAAGGAGTTTTGCTTAGAATATTTTTGTCAGGAGAGTCGGAGTTCATAAGGTCGAACCAGTAATAGTAATTGAGTTCAATTGAATTTCACCCAAGTAGTAGATATCTCAATGGGGGGTAGGGGGAGGACGTTAATAGACTTTCCCAATATATAGTGGTACGTTGCCTCCAGCCTTATCACTGACTCGTCATGGTGAACCTGAATGATTTGATGTTACAGGAAGGTTTTGATATACATCCTGTCCTTTTAGTTCAACAGTAAGAACATCACTTTTTGTTGATGCGACAACAAGTGGCTTGCATCCATTCACTTACAACTTTAAGTTTGTATAGATGAGAAGACCCTCTATGCTGATAATTTATAGTAGGATCGGTGTTTATTGTGTCATATTGTTTACTAGGATGTTCATTGGTCTGGTTTGTTTTGGAATCTTTGAACCAGTTATGTATATACATTCACACACACACACACACACAAAGAATAAGAACAGAACCAAGCTGCTCAAACAATAAGCACTAACGTTAAAAAAACCCCAAACATGTTAGATTGTAATTGTTTTTTAATGCAAGTCTTTTCAAACTTGACTTTAGACTTTACAAGAAATCATTAATTATGTTATATTTTGAGTTATTTAGGAGTTAATATATGTAATAGTTCAAGTTAACTGCTAGCGGATATTGTTCTCTTTGAGTTTTTCCTTCTGGACTTCCCCTCAAGGTTTTTAAAACGCGTCTGCTAGGGAGAGGTTTCTATACCTTTATAAAGAATGCTTCGTTCCCCTCTCGGTTGGAGATATGGAATCTCACAATATTTGTTTATTTTGGCAATCTATGTCTTAATTATTTGGTTTACTTTAGATGAAATTTTTTTGAACCGAACCAAACTATAAACGCTGGGACAAAGGGAAAGAAACCTCAAACCAAACCAGTTTAGCTTGGATCGTTGGTTTGATTTCAAACACCTCTATAACTTGCAATTGATGTAGTTGTTCCGATGCACTTTACATGTGTGACTAAGATGATGCGTTTTTTTCATAATATGGTGGTCTATGTAACAGTCCATGTTCACCTCCAGCAAATATTGTCTGTTTTTGCCCATCACGTATTGCTATCAGTCTCTCGATTTTAAAATGTGTCTGCTAGGGAGAGGTTGCTATACCCTTACAAGAAATACTTTGTTCCTCTCTCCAACCGATGTGGGATCTCACAGTGTAGTTGTGTAGTTGTTAGGTCTGTTTCTTTACCTCTCATATATGTTTCTAGCTGTAGTGAATCCTGTTAATTTATGATACGGGGTTATATGTGATCTATTGGCTTTTGTCTGAGAGCTTAGTTATCACCTTTGTAGCTAGCAAGACTGACCATTATGACCTCCCTGCACTCTGAAACTATGTAGATATTTTGTACGATTCATGGTCGCCGGCAATGACTGTAAGTTCCATCTGTATCAGC